AGGCCCAATCCTTCCCCTCCCCCAATCCCTCCTAAATCCCTAAATCTCCAAATCCCTATTCCCTAAAAGGTCGGCAACGCACTCGTAACTCCTCCGTTGCGAGTGTCCATGGGCGGCGCTGATTGCTTACCATCAGGTAATCCTTCTGCTCGTTTGCCGACCTATTAAATAAAAAAAAAAATTAGAGGAATTTAACTGCGAGGCGAGGTGATCATGCTTGGCGGGTTTCTATCCAACAGTTGTATGTTGGGATTTTTCTATCCGTAGAATTTGTGACGTCACAAAATTTCATCTTCTATTTCCTCAAGTGACAATCAGTGGTAGGAACTTTTTCGTCACTACCGTCTTTACAGTGATTAGGTAACTCACACTGCTAAAAACCTACCAGAGAAACCCTGAATTATATACGTTTTCATATTAAAATACATTTTTATTTCCTTAAAGCACTTACCTACCTGCTCAAGAAATAGATTATAAATTGAAAATATTTGAGCCAATGATTCACTAAAACTATTCGATAAAATAATAACTACACAATGCGCTTACGCATGAGCTTAAGTGTTTAACGTCAATGTACATTGTATCAAAATAAATTTAAATAGGTTATGTAGTTGTAGTGTGGGAGATGGATATATTTTTATTTGTAGGTATCTAACGACTCGCTACGGCTTCGCACGGGTATTGCACCCGCTGATACGAAATTCTTTCACTATTTATCTTATGCATAATAATTATACCTCTATACTAATACCTATTATAAAGAGATAAAATTTGTAAGTTTGTATGTAGGGGGTAATCTTTGGAACCAATGGTCGGATTCCCAAAATTCTTTCACTTATTGATAGCTACAATGTTCCCGAGTGCTATAGGCTATAAAACATCACGCTACAATCAAATGGAGCCGAGCAGCGAATGAAACCGCGGGGGAGTAGCTAGTGACATAAAAACCTTGCTGTTCACATTGTGTTTTAAAAACCATAAGCTGAAAATCATTACCTAATTAGTTAACTTGCAAATAACCTTATAACCTTAAGTGCTTGAATTACGATAGCTAAATTTATTGCTTTTTGCTAAACATTCTCCGAAAAGTCGTTTAAGTATAAAATATGTTTTTCTTCTAATTTCCGATGCTTTCTTCTTACCAAAGTGAGTTTATTTAATTCCGAAAAATCATAACAGCATTAAAATTGTTGAAACTAGGTTTGTTTATTTTGCTAACTATTGGATATTCTCCGAAGATTTTAGAATTAATATAAGAGAATAAATATTAAAATATATTTTTGTAGGTACTAGCTCCTCAGCTAAAACACATTCCGGCAAATCGTGATAACAGCACTAAAATATGATTATAAAAAAGCAATAAACGGGTAACGAAAACTAAAATTAAGTGCATTAGTTTATTAGTCAGTCGAGTACAGGCGAGATAAAAAGTGTTAGGTTCAAATAATATAATTCTCCAGCCAATAGACGTGTTGATTTGATGACTGGCTGCTCGGTTGGCTCAGTGGCTAGGCTAGGTGGCTAGGGTGCTGAGCAATGTGTCGCGGGTTCGATTCCCGAACGGAACAACACTTTTTGTGATACACAAATTATTGTTTCGGATGGACGGCTGAAGAAAGGCCACACAGCATCATCGTCATTAGCCTGTTTACGTTCACTGCTAGACGTGTCTAGGCTTCTTCACCTTCTTCTTCGGCCACTGAGCTCGATTATCAGCTCTTCCCATGCAATTACAACCACACCAAGTAAGTCAACCGATCTTAAATCATAAATAGTTTTACACAGATTTCATCCTCCATTTTACCTTCCAAGTCCAAGTCAAACTCATTTATTCCAACTAAACCATAAATAGGTACTTTTGAAACGTCAAAATAGAAAAGTAAGTAGTACCTATGTCAATCTGTTCATCAGTGAAGCTAGGTATACCTACCGTATACCAGATCCATGGGAAAAACTATAATTAAACACCCGCTTGCATTTATTTCTTGATTTTCATTTGCAATTCTAATTAATAGGTAGGTAAGTTATACGAATACTTCTTTTTACGCTAATTACTCTACTAATTGCTTTATAAATGGTTTCTTTTGTTTGTTATCTAGTAAGAGATCTGTTGGAAGTTGTAAATGGTGGCACCTAACACTTATTTTATCGAAGAAAAGATAACAATGGCGGGTATTGTAATTTTGTAATATCTGTGGTCTATATATTTATGTTGCCGCGTAATTCCAAGTTTAGTTTTAATTTTCTGTAGATTATAATTAGATATTAGTTATCGTAGGTGTTATCCTTAATTGTTTTATTTGTTTCAAACTTTAGGACATCAAAGTTTTTTAGGGAATTTATTTTTTAGATGTCAGTTAATGTGTCGTCTCGAACGAAAAAAAAATCCTTAGTTTTTATGCAAGTAGGTACATAGGTAGGCCAATTTTATTACCTAACTACCACACTATTATTCAAACAGCCATATGATGGTTAGTAGGTGTAGGCACGAGCTTAAGATTGTTATTATTCGTACCAAAATCAATATTAAACAAAATAAACCATATCTTCGTTTTGGTAAAACTTTTGGTCCCGCCAATACATCTGTCATCGCGACAGATAAGTGCGCGCGAACGATCGCCGAGCCCACAGATACATTAGCAAAACGTAATATAACATAGATGCGTTCATATTAACTGAGCTATTGTCGAAGTGATGGTGTGAATGGATTACTTGACAGCTCTGTGTTGCCGTTGCTGCCAAGAATATTTGTAGAAATGTACAGGCATTTTTGTGAAGGAAAAATCATCAAAAGGCATTTCTCGCCCAGGGTGAAGCGAGGGGGAGTGTTAGACTCTTAGTACACTTACTGACTAAAAATCCCAACTAGTGAGTTCGGCTTCCATTTGTCGTGTAAAAGTGCCGATTTATGGTCTATTTACAAAAATAAATTCATTGTTTCATTGTGTAATAGAGCTTTCTACAGTACATAGTAGTCGTTATTTTCAATAAATTTGATGTCTCACGATAGTTGCTATTAGGTTTTTTCTCAAAACCAAAATTCTATCAACTTGTGCCATTCGCTTTAAAGTTTTAATTTTGGTAGATAAAATGAATAACTAAAATGTACCCACGTATTAAAACCTAGTTAAACTAAATCCAACGCTGGCAACACCACATAATTCGAAAATATGGCGCGAACAGATTGGCCGATGACAGCTTTATAGTCCACCATTTTGGAGTCCATTTAGTAAATGCAGATAAATATTTATCGGCCCAATAACACGCGTTATACTGGTGAGTTGCGTTTATTTTCGTTGCTGAGAGCTCTCTGAGAATCGGATGTTTGCCCATAAATACGATTATGCTAGACATTTTTGAAAGATGTTAATCTTAAAACGGTCGAACAATGCTCATTACTGGGACCGGAAGATACGTTCTCATTCTTCGGATTTCATATTGTTGACGGTTGTAAATTTTATTATTGTTAACTTAGCTTAGAAAGGTTTACAAATTTTTGAAAGTCCATCTTTTAAATAGATTTTTCATGTAAGCATTGACTGGTGACAACTTAGTCTTCTGCTAGAGGTTTTGAGTAAAGTATTCTGAGAACAAAAATTTTGTTGTTTATGTACCAATTCATTTTTATAACATTCGGTAGGTATAGGTTACCGCAAATAAACCTGAAGCTGAAATTTTTATTTATCTGTGATAAGTACATAAGTATTAGATACTTATTATGTCGTTACCTTCCTAGGTCGAAAATGTAGGTAATAATAAACTTACACATCTCTGAAACATGGATACTTTTTTAAATTTACGATAGTTTTCTACCTAAATAAAGCTTTCGTATCGTTTCGTTTAATTATTGTAGGAATGCCAAACTCAAATGTTATTTATTATGTACATTTCTAGATACCTATACTACGGTAGGTATTATTCAACTAGTATAGGTATTAACGAATAAAATTGATAATCTCCTAAACGGTATTGATAATGTTATGATCACCAGTTGACACTGGCAGGCCAATCATCAACACCATAACAATTAGAGACTCGGTTATTATTCACGAAAAAAAAAAGCTATGAAGTAGGTAAGTATCCATCTACAATAAAATAACATATATACCTAAGTTAAGTAGATACCTAGTTTTTTCTAAAAGTTTAAGCGTCCATCGTTGACGAAGATTCTTCTTGTAGAATTACAAGCTATGCCACTATTGCATAAGACTTCAAAACCTCAATTCGATACCTTTTTAACGATTCTGCTGCATCTTATTTTACTAGACTTAGTTTCAGGACACATAGATATCTAATGAAAAAATTGCATCAACTTATCCAAAGAAAGCAGGTATTTTTATGAAATCAAAGACATTTCACGGCTTTAAGAGGCGTGAAATGTAAAGAGTAGACACAATACTTAAGTGTAACTTATGAAATCCAATAGTTAATTACCGTTTTTTGTTAGGGTAAAATCATCAGATGACTTCTCCCGCCCAGGTCGGGCGAGACGGATTTTCAGACTCTTACTGACTAAAAACCCCCCGTTACTTCTCCTGCTCTGGGCCGAGGTCACGAGGCCTCATTCCGCTTACCTCGCAACCCTGGTTGAACAGTTAAGTGTACCTAGCCTCTGGTATTTTATTCGATGCATACAGGGCTCAAAGAGTGAAAATACGCTCTCCTAATTTGAAAAAAGCAATTTCGATATCAATAATTAATAAGTATGGGGTATTATAGTAAAAACCTTCACCTTTGCCTATTCCTGCTCTGATTATGAAGCCTAATCCTGTGGCCTGATCAAAATGTTAAAATACACAAAATACTTATTTTCGAATGAGTAGTGCCATCTGCTGGTGAATTTCGATATTATCTGTTACTAGCGCCATCTAGCATGTAAATGTTATAAATCTATTAAAATTAGTGATTGATAGATGGCGTTAGTGTAATTTATCGTGGTTATAGAAGCATAATTCGCCCGCCACAGATATTTTTTAATCTGGTAGCACTGACTGCGATGAGTCATTACATTTAACGCTACTTTAAATTTTTAAAAGAAATTAAATTAATATTCTATTTAAATTAACGAGATAAATAGTAATTAAAATATTTTTTTGCATTTAAATTCACACCCGCATTCGATAATTACTTTTTGGATATTAGTTTGAAAGTCAATTTTGTGATTCGTTATTACACTTGTTTTATACTCCGTGAAATGGATTGCAATTTGTCGGTGCTGCCAACTTCAAGAAGTAGGAAATCAGAAATAACTTGTCTCAAATCCACCATTTTCCCTTTGTAACTAACCGGTGTTCAAAACACGTGCGTACGATCAAGTTACATGGAAAACTTGTGTGATCTCCGTGCATATTAAGTAAATACTTACGCTAAAAAGTGCGCCGTGTTTCGATAAACGCGCGTCGTGTATTAAAACAACATAATGAACACCGAAAAGCTAAAGAAGTTGCAGTCACAGGTGCGCATCGGCGGTAAGGGCACTCCGAGACGCAAGAAAAAGGTTGTTCACGTTACCGCGGCGACAGATGACAAGAAATTGCAATCATCGCTCAAAAAATTGTCAGTGAACACTATTCCTGGCATCGAGGAGGTGAATATGATAAAAGATGACGGAACAGTAATACACTTCAACAACCCGAAAGCGCAGGCATCCCTCGCGGCCAACACTTTCGCTATCACTGGTCATGGAGAGAACAAGCAGATCGCCGAGATGCTCCCCGGCATCCTCAGTCAGCTCGGCCCCGAAGGTCTGAACCAGCTGAAGAGGTTGGCGTCGAGCGTCGCCGCGCCTAAACCACTCGACGAGGACGATGAGGTCCCTAACCTAGTCGGCAACTTCGACGACGCATCGAAGCAGGAGGCCAAGGAAGTCATCACGAACGAGAAAGAGAAGGAAAAGGAAAAGAAACCCGAATCAGAAACCAAAGCTGCAGATAAAAAATCCGATTAAACTTACAGTCGGTCACAACGGTGTAGTTTTTAATTTTGCTCACCCAGAGAAAAGGGTTTCCAAAGCCACAGAGGCGTCTCAAATAGTTCTCATTTTATTTTACATTGTGTTCCTAAATAAATGTACTTTGAATTATATCATTTTCTACATTTATTTGTATGTGTAAATTGTGAATGTGTTTTGTTGGTACAGGGACACTTTTTTTTTTAATTTTTATACTTCATAATGTGACTTTGGAAACCTCAACAATCCTGAATTTAAACTGCTTAACTCTTATGCCATGCACTAATTCATAATTTTTAGTTTCTATGTAACATACAGCATAATGGTATATGATATGTCGATTCTCTATTATAATAGGAACTAGTTAAGTGTTGTAATGACCCTATTGTTGAGACTTTGGCGATATAGGTAACTTCAATATATTGAAAAAATATAAGTATACATTATTTTTGACAGTGCACCATGAAATCATAGAGTATATAATAATATGTATAGTGAAAAGGTGTTGTACGCCTTAGAATATTTTTAAAATATTTTCTAAAGTTGTTGATTCATATCCGGAGTTAAGATTTGCTTTCTTAAAATAGTTATAAAACAAAATATTAGTCACAGGTAGCTCTATAGGTTATTGAGCTAACATTGTATAAATAAAATTAATAAAAATTGCAAAAATTGTAAATGATTAGAGTTTTGGTATGTGGACATAACATTAAAACTTTGATCGAAGTAAATGGACTTTTACTTGGCCTCAAAAACTATCCATAGATTAAATAGAACAGAATACACAATTCAAGATTCTTTGCATCATTCTCTGAAAAGAGGATAATACAAAGTTTTTAACTCTAATACAAAGTTTTGATTCACACATGAACTTGATGAGGTTAGGTGAGCAATGTGAAACCCACACCTGCTTGTCTTTATGACAAAAAACGACTCAACTTCAATTGTAAATCACCTTGAATATAAATAATTGAAATTACTTTGGTAAATAACTAAATACATCTGGCCTCAAAAAGTTAAAATCATGTGGCTGATTATGCATAAAAAGATTCAAGTCATTATAGCCCCTATTACAATGAGTCAAGTGTCAGTTTTCGTTGGCCAATATTGGCGATAAATTCAATAGTGGAACTTAATTTTTTTAAGTGGTTGATCAAGGCTTATGTAGGTACATATTATAACAAGTCCAGGTATTTTAGTATGAAAAAAGATCGTGATTCTTACTGGACTAATGATTTACATTTTGGTAAGTACGAGAGATTAGTAAGCCAAAAATTAAATGATATTAAATATTTCAAGCATCGGATCAATCAACCAACTCAAAGGGCATTACACAGTAAATTCGTGACAAGGCCAAAGTCATGCTTACTTCCTTGTTTCTGTTCAAATATTATTCTTATATGGAATTCAAAATGAATTTAGGATATTCATTTATCATGTTGAAACAATATTCATGAATTTATCACGTGGGAAAGGATATTGTGGTTACCAGTGGTTGGCAAGTAGAAAATGGTGCAAGGTACAAATTAGTCACTACCACTACATATGATGATGAGTTTTTCATAGTATTTTTATCAATATTGTTTGTTGATAAAGAAAGTGCCTGTAATTAATTGATCTCCAAAAACAGGCGTACCAGCTTAAGTATAATGAAACGCAATTTTCTTGCGTATCATTTATTATTTGATAGCATATTGCGATCAATATCATCGTAAAATAGTATTAAAAATGTTAAACGTAATTTAGTACACAAAAAACATAATAATCTACATAATTTCAGCTATTGAAAATCGAAATAAAATATAAAAAATAATTATTATTCTAGCCATTTTTAACAAAGAAATTACGGAACGCATTCTTTGGTTGTCAAAACTGCCAAAGTCAAACTATTTTCATCATAAAACTCATAAAAATGTCAAAGTTGCTTTTGTGATTCTATTGAACATTGAAAGTGTTTAATTTTTGTTATTTAATTTCGTTGCATTAGGTGATAGCGCATTTTTTACAAAATGATAGCAAGGCCGTGGACAGATGATCTACCGAAATGCAAAAATTCTTGTGTAGCATCTTACTTTTCACGTCTGGGAGGTGGGAATACCAATACTACTGACGACTACTTGTGTTTTTACTGCCAGACTGAAGATAATTTGTAAGTAAACTTTAGATAACCATACTCTGTAATAACCATACAGAGATATTTACTAGATATAACCATATTCAGCCACTGAGTAAAACATTGAAAAAGTTGGTTCCTTTCCGTATTATCTATGAACAACAGATAAAGTGACAAAATATCATAGTGAATGTAAAACTTTTAAATAATTTTCGCTTTGATATATTGTGTTGTGCTCCAATTTTCTATGGTATGTGCAATTATACCTATAGGATTAGTGTTGGAATAACAAAAATCAATCGACTTATGTTTCTCACGCCGCTATTATAAGCACCGTAAGTGCTTATTCTATTCTGTTTACGCCTTGAGGCAACACACACCTCTTAAAGTATAACAATACATTCCACCTTTGCTATTTGACAAATAAACTTAGTTTTATTTCATCAACACAAACCTAACAATTAGACTTGAGGGCATTGTTTTTTTATTGCAAATAAAGTCTGAGCATCTTCAACCTTATACACATAGATATAATAATACAAAAAAACTGTTTCTCTCTGTAATACCTTTTTAGTTCACTCTATGGAGTATTTGAGCCACACAATGGGCTGGACGCAGCAAGGTTTATCATGCAGAGGATGGCAGCTGAGATCCTGTTCCCACCTCCTTCAGCTAACACAGATGAGGAGATCAGAGAAAGACTGAGGTATGTAATATTTTGAGAAAGACATTCTAACTGACCAATCTGAAAGTCTTTAGCAAGAGCTAACATCCAGCTGTCAGTTGAGATATCTTGTGGATTTTGTTGATGATAATGTGAAGATGAAAACAGATTTGTTTTTATTCAGTTTGATGTTTGTGGCAAAGTTTTATGTTGTAATAAGTTATCTTGTTCTTCAGATTTTGAATTTAAATTCTCATATGTCATGCAAAAAAATTGTTAAAAAATTCTAAATTGATGATCACTTCATTACAAAGCCATTAGTCCCGTCTCCAGAATGATAAAATATAATTTTATCATACAACATTAAATATAATTTTATAATACAGTTATTTATTATTATTTTTTGTAAAGAGAAATATCTTCGCCGTCTTATTGATGGTACCCCTGCAGTCCACTCTATTTTGATATTATGCACATTCGAGAGGTTAAAAAATGAGTGCTTTTGTCTTTTAATTAACTAGAAAAATATATTACTACTCAAAAATGAGGATTGCAGGCAATTTGTGATTGTAAAAAGTACCTTATGCTAATTTGTATTAAATAAATTATATATAATTTCAGGAATGCATTTATATCAGTAGAGAAGGCTTACATAGAGAACTATGATGGTATGATAGCAGAGAGGACAAGTCTACAGTACCAGTTACAGACACTTAATGAAACACAGGTCAGTGTACTATGAGATTTTTACGACTATCACGAGACCTACAATATTTAAACCTTCAAGAAACAAGCATATGGTATCATAATAAAAATAATTAATATTAATTAATAAAATACAAAACACATGCCGACAAAATAACAACTTTGTGAATTAGGTTCAAGCTGCTCATTTTTATTATATCTTTCGTAATAATTTGACGATATACTCGACTAGTTTCAAGCCATGCTAGAGGCCCATATTCATGAGTAGCATTATACGTGAGCATATTATGTGAGTAAGCTGAAAACATAATAATTAATCTGCTCATTAGTATGAGTTCCATTGTGTCTTGATACTAGACTCTTATACACGAGCAGTTGTGACTTGAGCATGTTGTTGTGTCTCACAATTTATTTATTTTATTTTATTTACAATTACATTAACAACAAAAACTAATAAAAATAAGTAGGTACATTCATATGTTCCTCTTGCAGTACTTCATGCACTCCATTAAAATTTCCTTCCATCTGCAAACAAATCAATAGTTGTAAGTCAAGAATTTTACGGAAAGAAACAGACTAAGAACTCAACAAAAATCTCCCCAGGTATCACAAAACTACAACATCTTAGCCCGTCTTAAGGAGATAGATGTCCACCTGTCTGGCGGGGCAGCTGTTGTGATAGCTCTGGTGCATGCTAACAAGCTCTTCGTGGCCCATGTGGGAGACACGAGGGCCTTACTCTGCCGGACTGATGATAACGCAGTGCTAAGAGTTGTACAACTTACCGTGGACCACAGTTTAAATAATGAAGACGAGTTGCTAAGGCTGCAGCAGTTGGGGCTTGATGTTAATAAGTTGAGGAATTGTGAGTATTTTTTTTTATTTATTAGTCTATCTATAGTCGAAAAATATGTCAAAATCATTCACTTCAAATAGACCACAGTGCCTAGGCAGCTTTGAGCATCAAGCAAAAAAAAATTTTAAGATAGATACTAATATTATAAAGCTGTAGAGTTTGTTTGTTTGTTTATATAATTATATTTAATCTCGGGAACTACTGGTTCCAATTGAATAATTCTTTTTGTGTTTGTTAGTACATTTGTCGACGTAGACTATAAGCTTTTAAACACCACGCTACGATATGTAGGAGCCGTGCAGCGGGTGAAACCGCGGGACAGCAGCTAGTAAAAAAAACCAAAAAGACTCAGTAGTATGAATCAATTTCTTTTTTATTTACTTTTTCTTAAAAGTTGATTTGTCAAACACAGCGTTGTGTTTCGCCGTATAAGTAAAGTTACCGGAAGATCAATCCTACCCCAATCCCTAAAAATGTCCGAAACCCTAATACCCTAAAGGCTGCTTTCATCACTCCTCTTGTGTTGCCATAATAAGAAAATCTCAACTCACATTAAAAAATTGCCATAGGTATTATCTAAAATCAGTCTAAGATTGCAATTACACCGTAGAGTACCTATTTTAAATCCCATACTCTAATAGGTAATTTTAAAAATTGTCAAGATCTTGAGATCTCATACAATATGTAATAAAATCACCTCCACACTATATACTTACAAATCATAATTCAGTTCACTCAACCTTCCTTTCACTTTTTACAGCTCAATACCTCGGCAACCAGACGGGGACGCGTTGCCTAGGTAACTACCTAGTCAAAGGCCTGTACAAGGCCTTCCCAACAATCAGCGCTGCAGTCACAGAACCAGTCATCGCCGCTCCAGAGATACACGGCCCCATTATCCTGGATGAGTCTTGCAGGTAAATTATTTCTACTATATCATCATCAGCCTATAAGCGCCCACTGCTAAGAAAAGGCCTTACCTAACACGGAATTTTGAGCATTAGTCACTCCGCTTGCCTAAGGCGGATTTGCGATTTCAAACCTATAATTAGAAATTGTAAGTCCAGGTTTCTTCAAGTTGATTTCCTTCCCCATATGTCAGTGATGTCCAAATTATCATAAAACATTAATACTTGCCAGGTTTCAAATCTGCTATCTCGTGTATTAAAGGCAGCATGGCTTTTAAAAATGTCGTGGTGTCTCACAACGATTTTTTTTAATAAGATTCATAAAATTATTGATATATGTTTTATAAAATGTAAAAAATGAATCGCAAAATATGTTGGTAAGCACATAACTTGTCTGCAAAGTTGGCGCGGTGCTAAAGGGACAGGGGATGGGGAGGATTGGGCCTCCAGTAACCTCACTCATGTGATTAAACCCACGCATTGTTCCAACCCAAGTAGCACAAGTATATCTAATGAAGCACTATTAGATATTTTATAGAATTAAACTTAGAATTCTTGCATAAGAGTAAATAATCCCTGAAGATATCCTGAAGATATCCTATATACCGAGTTAAGTAAAAATGGGCAACTATCTATACTATAATAACAAGAGCAGCATAAGAATTCATCATTAGATAAGGATAAGAGCAATTCATATTTATCTATAGGGAATATCTACAAAACTACCTTAAGAACACAATAAGTGGCACATAAGAAAGGAATTAAGTTTTGTAGCCAGCATTAAGATAACACCATGACTCTACTGATGTTCTAGTAATGAATTTTTTTAAAACCACTAATAATCAAAATCTACTAAATAAAAATATCAACAAGAGTTACTTCTTTTAAAAAGCATTTCCTATTTTCTAATGGCACTCCGTACTTAAAAATATTTTAAGTTGTAGCTTTAATGGCGAAATGAAATTAAATATATGTTTTTTCTTGATCTTTTTTGTTTCGCGCGAACGGAGGGCGGAAATTCAGTGCCAAATTAATTTTATCGTAAAAGTCGATGAAAGAGTTTCAAAAAACTTACGGGCCTAGTATATTCGTATAATTTAACTGATAATTTTATAATAAACAATATTATTGGTGTTCATTTTTTTTATATTTTGTTAAAATAAATAAATTAAATTTTAATTAAAATATATTGTTATTTTAATTAAAATTTAATTTATTTAAGTATTTTTATGTTTAGAAATGAAGAAATACCATGTTTTATTGTTAACAAAATTTCTAATTTTTACCAAAGTGGCGATTACCGTCGTGTTCTATTAATAAAAATGGCGTCTAGATTAAATTATCTATAAATAAGTTTTGATTAGATGATTTACTCCTAAAAGGTCATTTTAAGAGCATGACAAGTCAACTTGCACTTTCATCAGAAGAATTAATCTTTTAATAGTAGAATTATTCTTATAACGATCCTATGCTAATCTATAAAATGGAATATTTATAAACTATTTTTTCTCGTAATTATCTACCAGAGTTTATCAGACTGGCATAAGAAGAAGGTATTTTTGCGTTTATGTTATTTTTCGGTGCTACAAATACCACAAAGAGCCAGTATTTATATGTTTAAATAGATTTATTGTGTTCCATACAAATAATAATGTTGATTTATATTAACTACACAGTGCAGCTTGACAATAATATCATTATTAGTAAGAAACCAACAATTGATACCATCATTGCTTACTGAATATTTCTCAAGATCAATCGTTTTGTAAAAACGTATTTTTGATTTATTGCTTTCTAATCAAACGTATCAAATCTTTTAATCTTTGTCTTTATGTTTGTTAGTTTATGTGAAGGACCTCTTCGATTTCCGTAAGTTGAAATATTAGTCTTTTCGATTAATCTTTTCGCAGCCTGCTGTAGAGGTTTATGGCCACTCCTCAGTAGTCGCTTATGATGCAAAGTATTCTCAAAAGGATAGGCATCGAATGAAGATAATATCCCGAATCTCCTTACCTCCTCTACTACGTGGCATAGGTTATGGACATTACTGGTCATATGGCCTTCTCCATAAATCTCTCTGTAGTATTCAATATATGTATTAAATAACGATTCAGAAATGCTAAGTAGAGTAGGTGAGCATAGGCTTCAGTGGAGCATATGGTAACTGCGCAAAATAGTTGTTAAAAATGTTGATAAGCATCAGGATGTAAATATTTTTCTAAAACAACAATACCTAGATACAATAAAAATGTTCAAATCAAATCAAATCAAAATCATTTATTCCAACTAAACCATAAATAGGTACTTTTGAAAACGTCAAAATAGAATAGTAGTCTGTCAGTCTGTTCGTCAGTGAAGCTAGGTGCTCGTTCCAAATTGTAGTTTCGAATGGAGAAGAACGAGCAAGAAACTCCATCGTTACTACGTACATTACTGTACCCCTATGTGAAAACAATGCAGAGACAAGTTGTTAATAAAAAGGAACAAATGATGGTCTATCTAATCTATCATTAAAATTTTAATCCTTTGTTGTCTCGAACATGGCGCTCACATATGCGTACTCACAATCCAAAAGAATGCTTCTATAAATAAACTCATTCAATGTTTCATTAATTTTAAGAATTTTAATAACTACTGACTACATATTTGAGTATTGTCCAGTGGAGCCGAACCAACATGCTGCCAGGCATTCTTATCCTCAATATAATCTGAAAGTTTGTAGTATGCCTGTCTACATAATTCGCGTTTAATATAAGTTTTTAATTTTCGTTCATTAAGATTTAATACACTTTTTGGAATTTTATTGTAACAATTTACACAGAACCCCATAAAGGATTTCTGTACTTTGGACAGACGGAATCGTGGCACAGCCAGCCTATCTTTGCCTCTAGTATTAAAATTATGTCTATTGCTTCTTTTTTCAAATAATTGCAAATTTTTCCTTACGTACATAATATTTTCATATATAAACTGACAAGGTACCGTTAGGATATTTATCGTTTTAAATAGTTCTCTCAGACATTCACGAGGGGGCAAGTTATATATCGCTCGGATAGCCCGCTTTTGCAAAATAAATATTGAATCTATTTCCGCAGCTGTTCTAAATTCGGATGCTTTCCAAAAACAAATTGTGTCAAGACCTCTTACTGCACGATTAATTTCTTTCGGTAATTTGGATTGCACTAACAACTGCGTTATGGCAATGATATCAGAAGCTCGCCATTTGGTCTTGTAGTTACTGAAAGAGCCGTTGCGCCATCCCATTAAACACCGCTTCATTATCCCAAGATCGATTAAATGTAGAGAGTCTGCAACTGAGATATCTAATACCATATCAATAGGTAATAGCAAAAGAGCACTATCCATTTTGTGGTGTGATCCGTATGTCTTATTTTGGAACCCCTCATCGGTTCTTAAGGGACATCTCCACCTTGGGAAGACGTTGCCATGCGACTAATATGAATACTCTCCAATCGATGTACATTTTGGACACCCATTCTGACTGTTGAAGTTAGCAATACCTTTAATAAATGCACGAGCTGGTGAGTCACAAATTATGGCCCGAATTTTAATTGTAATATGATTGCTTATGATTTCGGGGGTGGTGATGTGACTTTGCATGTAGGTACCGATCATTATTTTAATGTTTTAATTTTTGTTATTGTAATTTTAATAACCGCGAGATTAGATGGGTCCTTATCGCACTGTGTATACCGAAAGCTAACTCACACTGATCCGACCTACATGCAAAGTCACATCACCACCCCCGACACTTACAATCCGTGATGATATCACTAAAAAACAGAGCATATGACCTCTGTTACCCTGAACATCTGGGGCAAGAGCTAGACCATGTTCAGGAGGTACTTAAAAAGAACGGATATAGTGTAGGGGATGGGCGACTATTACGACCGCTGAAGAGGGCCAGACATCCAAACGTGAGCAGACAACCTGCCTTCATGCCTTATATCAAGGGTGTGACAGACAAGATAGGATCCGTCATTAAAAAATTTTCGATCCCGACGATCTACACACCTGAGGCTAAACTTCATGATAAGGTAGGCACGGCGAAGGATGTACTGCCGCTACAAAGCCCAGGTGTTTATAAGATCAACTGCAGCTGCGGTAGTTCCTACATTGGGCAAACGAAGCGGACCATTGCTGAGAGGCTCAAAGAACATATCGCCGCAGTCAAAAACCGACAGAGCAACAAATCAGCGATAGCAGAACACCTGCTCCAGGCTGGTTCTAATCACTGGATAGAATTCCACCGACCGCAAATTCTCTCCACTGATCGCCACTACCATACAAGACTTGTGCGTGAAGCGGTTGAAATAAAGAAATGCCCAAATAATTTCAATCGGGAGGACGGCTTTAAATTGTCGTCGATATGGAATCCAGTGCTTCGCAAAACACAACCTCGCTTTCCTTCAAAGTCGGTTAACACATCTGTGGATATAATCAGCGTAGTGTGTAGACGGCCTAATATGGTAGAAAATGAAAATAAGGGGGTAGATGAAGATTCATCACCCGAATGCAGGGAGCTGTGACATCGCGTCTTCAGTCTGCTTGTGACCACGACCTGTGTAACCAGGCCGAAACGTCAAGCCTACCAAGGTATTCAAATTATAATTTTCCGCGTTAATACCCGCGTAAATACCTTTTTTATCCTTTTCCACTTTTCTCCGAAAGCCTCCTGTATTCTTAATATGTTTTGCTTTCTTCATGCTTGCAGAACGCTGTCCTTTATATACTCAATACACTTAAAATAAAATGTTTTTAACGTAAATTCTCTAATGAAAGAGGAAGCCGGCGTTTCACTAGAGTATACACTATAGAGTATCTAGTCATTGATTCTATTAAGTATACACTTAAAAAAGTGCCTAACAAATCCATATAAAGACCTTTTTGATTATTTATAGAGTAATTGGTCTACAAATAATCGCAATTCTCAAAAAGTATTTGTGATAATAAGTCTATAGAATAATTGATCTACAGCAGCGCTTTTAATAGTGCAAATATAGTCCATAACAAATCAATTTGCTCTTAACTCAGTGTAATGAACTAATAAAGGTTTTAAAACAAGGGACACTAGATATTTTATTCTATTAGAATTTTAGTTCTTATCTAAAACCCTGTATAGAATGCCAATGTCTATAAAATAGCCATGATTAGTACTCCTATAGCATAAATAGATTTAAGGTGGCTGAAGTGTGCTACTTGGGAAGTACCTAATTTCCCCGTGAGGACGTATGTTTCCTGCATCCAAAATTTAAAATTTATATGTTTCAATCGACTACAGAAAGTACAAAATGGTGCTAAAAATGACCCAAATATTTTGAAAATTTATTACTAATTATTATAATAACATTAATATCTCTTGAACTTTGACTTTGATAATGTCGCCTTGTTTCGAATAAACTGGAGTTGTGTTTTGTTTATATTTATAACTATAGGGTTCAAGATTTTGAACTTAACGTATTAGTCCAAGAGCCCGTGAGAGCCAGACCTTCGGATTTTTATAAAAGCTAAGAGTTCTTCTGTGCATGTCCCCAATACAGGTAAGAAAGGTCCCCACCCATGAAACCTGGGTAGTGGTGGCTTTGGCAGGTAACAGGTAGCAAAGGTGTATAAAATTCCACCTCAAATTTATTAATTTATAAAACTCAATTTTTTTATATTTTATTCGTGATAATATTAAAACTCGCGTTGCTCATTGCCAGACACTTAATATGGTTACAACCCTCTGCCGGACACCCCTGAACTATTATAATTTGTAACTATACTTACGTTATATTATAAAAGCTAAATTTTATATATGTTTTTTGGACAACTATTAAATATTGTTTCCTTAATAGCCAGACAATTTCGAGGGTTACATCGTCCAGCCAGACGTATTAAATGTGTACAATAGTTATGAGTGAGAGGAGTATATGCAGCAACGGGTGCGAGTGAGATAGAGCGTGCAGTCTATTGCGACTTTTACTGCGCATCAGCTGCTCATTGTGTATTATGTAGTGCGCGGTGCTTTGATGAAATGCTTAGAGAAAGAGGTTGAGCATGACGAGCCACCTCAAATTGATGTTTTAATAATTGACAGATTTTTTTTATTACACACCATGAAAAATGTTCCCAAAAAATTTGGAAGTATTTCTAAAAAAATGTTGCAGATGGTAACTCAGTTAAAAGCGTCAAGAATTGATGTTATTTTTGACCAGTATTTTACCCCATCGATAAAAAATTACGAACATTCTCAACGATTTGAATCGGCACAATTAGAGTATACCATCACTGGGCCTGAACAAGTTCGTCCTAGTGACTTCGTTAAAGAATTAAAAAATTCAAATTTTAAAGAAGCTCTAGTTGATTTTTTCATTTTACATTGGGCTAGTGATGAAATGGCGCCGTTTATTGGTGGCAAAATAATACATATCAATTTCAGAAAGTGTCATTCATTCATGGTTAATGAGACAAACAAAGTTATATCAAGTATCACTGAGAAATTGTCATGCCCGGAGCATGAAGAAGCAGATACCAAGATAGTGTACCATGCGTGCAAAATCAACTATGAAGCAAACATTATAATCCGAACTATTGATACTGATGTTGCTGCTATAATGCTAGCTCATATGCACCGTCTAAATGATGAGTCGCAAGTTTGGATGCTTACAGGAACTGGAAATAATTTGAGGTATGTGAACCTAACTAAGATATACGAAAAATTGGGAGAATCAATTTGTAGAAGCTTACCTGGATTACATGCAATTACAGGATGTGATTACAATCCTTCATTTTTTAGAAAAGCGAAATTGAAACCATATAAGATATTAAAGAATACGTAGAATTTCAGCAAGCCTTCATGAAGTTTGGTGACAGCAAAATCATCGAAGATAATATTGAACAACAAGACCTTTATAATGTTATTCAAACTTTTATATGCTATTTATACAATGTTTTTTTTTTGTGAGGGGAAAATCATCAAATGACTTCTCCCGCCCAGGGCCGGGCAGGAGGGAGTGTCAGACTCTTACTGACTAAAAACCCCCCTGTTCCTTCTCCTGCTCTGTGCCGAGGTCGCGGTACCTCATTGCGCTTACCCCGCAACCCCGGCTGAACATCAGCCCTTTAGGGCCCCGTCTGTGGTGGTCGTATGGCTCTTTGAGGCGCGCGCGGAACGCTACGCGCCGTACGCTCGGGCCTGGTTCTGGTCGGGCGGCGAGCTGCCCTTACTCGCCGACTGCAGGCCCGTGCTTACGGTGGCCGGAGATCGTCCCTCGATCCCCGACGCCCATAGTGTCGCCAGTTGCGGCTGCTGGGGCGTGAGGAGGAGGATTGCTCCCTCACGCGGGCCGCCTCTCTCTTTGCGAGCATGACTGCTTCACAAAAGTAGGAGACGGCGTCCCAGTTCCTCTCACTCCGCACCATGGCCTCGACTAAGGCCGGGCGCGAGAGGTCGCCGCCGCCGATCACTTCCCTGAGGATACGGCGGTGCTCAGCCCAGGCAGGCCATACCGCTACCGTATGCTCCACCGTATCCTCTAGGTGGTCCTCACAATGACGACACTCGGGCGTTTACTCCCGCTGAATCCGAAACAGGAACCTACCGAAGCTGCCGTGCCCGGCAAGCACCTGCGTCAGAGACAAGCACCTGCGTCAGAATTTATACAATGTTGAGAATATAAATGATGTTGATGCTGCTAGACTACAAATTTTTACCGATTCTTATACAGTGTCTGATGTGAACGAAGCTTTTAATCGAAAAAAATTGCGAAATTTCGACGCAAGTAGTTTACCACCTTGTAAAAGTGAGCTATTACAGCAATTTTTGCGAGCAAATTATATATGTTGTATCTGGAATAATGCTCATTTAAAAAACCCTACAACATATGAGCCAGTAAATAATGGTTGGATTCTGGAAAATGATGAATACCATTTTAAATGGTTTGAAGGAGATCAACTACCAAATTATGTCAGTGAATCTCTAAAAACTGTATCAGGTATATAATAATTATGATAAATTATTTTACATTGATTTGTGACTAATTAAAATTAAATTAACTTGATTTTACTATTGCAGAAGCAGGCGAAGAAAACGATGTTGATAACGATGAATTTAGGGAGTGGAGTAGCAGTGACGACGAAAATGAAAATGTCAACATCAACGATGACAATGAAGAAGATTTTTGAATATTTAATTTAAATGAATTTATTTTTCTGTAAATTTCTAACTCACAAAGAAATTATTCTTTCGTACAATTAACAAATAAATTATTATGGCCTTGAAATTTCAGTTGAATTGAATATAATAAACTTTATAAAATTAAAAAATAACATCAATAGAGTTACTAGATTTTTGATATGATTAATATTTTTTTATAAAATTTTTCGGAATATTACTTTAAAAATTTATTATTCAGACTGTATTAATTTTATTCAATGAAATTTCTCCAAAAAATTAGAAAAAATGTTACTGAAAAATTCGGAATTAAAAACAGTAGATGCGCAGTAAAAAATCGCAATAGACTGCACGCTCTATCTCACTCGCACCCGTTGCTGCATATACTCCTCTCACTCATAACTATTGTACACATTTAATACGTCTGGCTGGACGATGTAACCCTCGAAATTGTCTGGCTATTAAGGAAACAATATTTAATAGTTGTCCAAAAAACATATATAAAATTTAGCTTTTATAATATAAGGTAAGTATAGTTACAAATTATAATAGTTCAGGGGTGTCCGGCAGAGGGTTGTAACCATATTAAGTGTCTGGCAATGAGCAACGCGAGTTTTAATATTATCACGAATAAAATATAAAAAAATTGAGTTTTATAAATTAATAAATTTGAGGTGGAATTTTATACACCTTTGCTACCTGTTACCTGCCAAAGCCACCACTACCCAGGTTTCATGGGTGGGGACCTTTCTTACCTGTATTGGGGACATGCACAGAAGAACTCTTAGCTTTTATAAAAATCCGAAGGTCTGGCTCTCACGGGCTCTTGCTCTATATATAAATAGATACAATTTGAAACTAAGTCTAAGTACATATGTACCCAAGTATAATCGTCGTGATAATAAAATCATGACGTCATAATCTTTTAGTTAATAGTGTGAAAGTCATTCATTTTGTTACCTGTGTAACTCATACGGTGAAACACAACTCTGTGGTTGTTTCCTGCCAGTTTTCCTGTGAGGCTGTTGACCGGTCCGGTCGAGCTGACCTTCATAATATCGCATAACCTTTTTTTTTTGTCATGGGAAAATCATTCAATGACTTCTCCCACCCAGGGTTGGGAGGGGGGGGGGGTGTGTCTCTGGTAGCTCATAGGAATAATATTTCTGCAGGTTGCAGTTATAACCCATGATTCTGGAAATGACTTCTTTTTAATGGCATTCTCTTCCCTTTTCTACACACGGCCTCGATTAGAAGTTTAGCCATACAATACAATAGCTAGCCCTTAAGGCCGTTAGTTGAATCACTAATAATTACGTTATTGATTGCAATAAAACTGGATAAACATGATAAATAAGTTTTTGCTATATGAATATACTAGCTTTTGCTCGCGACTCTGTTCGCGTGGAATAGTAACTTCCAGCAGATTTTTGGTTCAAAAACTATCCTATGTCCTTTCTCGAGTTCCAAACTATGTCTGTACCAAATTTCACACAAATAGGTCCAGAAGTTTAGGCGTGAAGAAAACACAGAAAGACAGAGTTACTTTCGCATTTATAATATTAGCTTGGATTAGAAAGAAAGAAAGAAACATTTATTTCTGCGCAAACGCACATACATAGAAATCAATAAATACCTTACTTAAATTAGTTTTATTTTTCTTTACAGATTCCTAGTCCTGGTAAGCGCAGGAGTATACAAGCGCATACAAGAAGCCAAAGGCAGCTACGAACAAACGAATAAGCAATTAGCACAGATTATAGTGGAGAATTTCAGAAAGCACGACTTCAGAATGGTCAGCCAGTCAGTTCTAGAAGAAATTGAACAAGAATTCGTCTCTTACTGTGTTAAAAACAGTTTAACACCAAAACCAAATACTCACATGTCATTATTGATAAGGAATTTTAATTTCTTACCAACGGTAGAAGATGAGACCCCACCGACACACAGTGTAACAAAAAACGCGTCAGTACGGTTCAACCCGATCGTTCAATCAAAATCGAATACCTTACTCAACGAAATCGATTCCGAAATTTACTCGTCCGGTACGAATGAAATCGAAACTAACGATTCTAATATCGATACTAATCGATCTATAGAATCGACTTCGGATATTTATCCCGTTGGCAGACCGTTTGATAGAGATCGCAAGATTAAGGGCTATGTAGATTTTTCTTGTTATTTTGAGAATGTTGCCAAGGCTAGAAAGAATGGGACGCTGCCTGATTTTATTAAATAATGTTTATTTAATGTTTTAGAAGTTTTATAAGAGTTATTCTTGTCATTATTTTAAAGTATTGTGTAGGTAACTACTAGCTTCTGAACGTGGCTTCGCCCACATGGTATGTTGATAAAAACAGTATGTGGTATCCACCTACCTATATACCAAGTATCAACCAAATCAGTCGAGCCGTTTTTGCGTAAAATAATAACAAACACACAACTATACATTCTCACAAACTTTTCACGTTTATAATATTACCTAGATAAAGATAAAAGATAATTTATTTTTGTAAAACATGGGTATATGTGTACAAAGCAAATAATTGCAACATAACGTGTAAAAAAAATAATAATCAGACCCATCCATGTTTTGCCTAGAATAGGCGTACAAAATTTTGTTCTATTTGAACCGAAACGTCATAGTGTTAGGCATCAATTAAGTATTCCTTCAGATTATAAAAACATTTGCTAATATAGTATAATAGTAGTTATAATCGTGAAAAAGTTTGTTAAGCTATCAGAATTCGTGCTAACAGGGTCTCTTGTCTTGACATAACCGGCAAGGTTATTGTATTGTTGTACACTTGACGACCCTATTTCCCTAATCCTAGTTGCTGGCTCCAACCAAAGGTTGTCTGGTAGAAATAGCACTAAGCGATAAGACCGCCCATTGTACATCACATCTCAAGCTTTTGTATACTAATATTATAAAGAGGCAAAATTCGTAAGATTGTATGTAAGGTGTAATCTTTGGCACCGATGGTCGGTTTTCAAAAATTCTTTTACTGATGAGCTAAAATGTTCTTTAGGCTATAAAACATCACGCTAAGATCAAATGGAGCCGAGCAGCGAGGAAACCGCGTGAGATTAGCTAGTCTGTATATATTTTTATGGTGTACAATTAAAATTAAATAAATAAATAAGGTCCCATTGATGGAAGCAACCAAGTACTTATTGTTTTGCATTTTTTCTATAAACGTTTTAGAAGCACGATATTCTTTTGTTACAGAACTTTGTAATTTTTTAATAATTTCTGTTGGCCTGCCTAAAGTCTTAGCGTGTTGACTAAGTAATTGAGATTGTTATAAACACCACTTGCCTTAATTATGAAATAAGTATTAACATATCTTGTATATTATTATTATAAATATTAGTTTCTAAGCATTACGACAATATGAGATTTTTGTTGTTCTATGAAAATAAATTAAATATTATTTTAAAACAATCTTTTACTATTCTACCGGTCAAAAAATGGGGACCACTACTTTTACCTCTACAAATTTAAAATGTCTGAATATACACTATGTTTTAGAGAAATTGAAATATAGAATTCTCGGGATCCCAAAATACAGGCCTCGCCTAGATTGGGGAACGTCGTTCCAAACAGCAATGTCCGCTACAAATAGGTAATAGTAGGTACCTAATAGTGACTTAATTTTTAAGGCAAATTTATGTAACTATCGATAAATAAATTATTATCTTTGTCTTTACCAATCACGGGACCACAGGGTCCCAGTCATTTGGGAGGCGTACGAAGGGCCGGAGCCAACTGCGCAGAGGCCCTTTATACAACTTTAATCTAAATGAAATTGGACACAAAAAATACTATTATAAAATTCATAAAAATTATGTGCCTCATTAATCAATCAGGTATTTTGTGTAGGTGGCGAAAAAAGTGCTTAGTATTAAAGCCACACGGTGCGGCTAAATACAATACATTTATTTTTCTTACCAAACTTTCCTTCTTTTAGGTATATCGAGACCCAGATTATTATGAATTACAGACAGACTTGGTACCAACCCTAACTAATAAACAATCGCACAAATCCATCGTTAAACAACCACAGCGTTGGGTTTCGCCGTGTGAGGAGGCCTAATCCTTTTTCCGTGCCCCCAAGCCCTAAAACTCAGCAAAAGGCCAGCACCCGTAACTTCAATGGTGTTGCAGCTGTCCATGGGCGGCGTCGATTGCTTACCATCAGGTAATCGGTCTGCTCGTTTGCTGTCCTATCACTTAAAGGTAATTGATTACAAAGGACTGTTTCCCTTTAAACCTCTTATAAACAGGTGACGTCTCATCTAGTCCAGCCATAGTCTATTTCAGCGTAAATTATGTTGATAAAAATGCCATAACTTACAACAAGTCGACATCTTTGATGACCATAATAGACGGTTTTACGCCATCGTGTGTAAGAAAGTGAAGAACAGGGAAATATGTTCTGTATAAATATGCCATTGGGAAATAATGCAAAAACTAACTGGACAAAGGCCTCCCCCTTGGCACTCCACGTCGAACGACAAGTTGCCACCTGCATCCATTGGCTCCCCGCGACTTTGTCGATGTCGTCGGTCCACCTAGCGAGAGGCCTGCCCACACTACGTTTAAACCACAGCGTTCCTGTTCCTGCTCAAGGCTAGGGCCGCGATACCTAATTGTGCTTGCCCCACGACGGGAAACCCCAGAGAAGAAAGAACGGGGTGGTTTTTAGTTGGTAAGAGTCTGAAGCCTATTAGTGCCCACTGCTGAGAAAAGGCTTCTTCTCACACGAAGAAGGTTTAAGCAATATTCACCACACTTGCTCAAGGCGGATTGGCGATTTCGAACTTTAAAATTATTAATTAGAAGTCCAGGTTTCCTCACGATTTTTTTCTTTTTTTCCTTCACTGTATGTCAGAGGTCCCGAGGATACGGCGCGTAGCGTTCCGCGCGCGCCTCAAAGAGCCAATAGACCACCACAGACGGGGCCCTAAAGGGCTGATGTTCAGCCGGGGTGGCGGGGTAAGCGCAATGAGGCACCGCGACCTCGGCCTAGAGCAGGAGAAGCAACAGGGGGGGTTTTTAGTCAGTAAGAGTCTGACACTCCCGCCCGGCCCTGGGCGGGAGAAGTCATTTGATAATTTTTCCCTCACAAAAAAAAACTATGTCAGCGGTGTCTCAATAATCATAGAAAGTACCTACATACACCGTGACTTTTTAGTCGTCTTACAAAAGTTGTCCACTTAATGTATCCGACATAAAATACCTCTATACTCGGAATTTTAATTCCATTCCAGATTTGACAATTTCAGTGTTGCAACGTTATGACACGTACTAAATGGTGCCGTTGCGAAATTATTCGATATGGAAATCGAATATTTCTGAATCAATTCCTCTCGTTTATAAATTTACTCTCGTAAACTAAGTTTATCAGGAAATAAAATATTTCTGAACCGATAATTTAGTTTTGACAATTAATTAACGACCTGAGACTTTTCTTTTGTAATTGTGTGTGAAATTAATAAAAAATGTGATCATGAAGGAACATGACAAATAAAACAGAAATTTTATAAATTGTCACCGTCATCACTATCGCTATCGCTGTTACTTTCTGTAATATTTATTATGAATTGTGTCTGTGATATTTATTGTCAATTAACATATCTAGCTTGCTCATTTTTTCCTTTTCTTTGACAACATGGGATACGCATTTAGACCATTCGGTAGCCGTAATTTTTTTAATGCCTTCCTGAAACCGATTCACTTATTGTTTATCGATTTTTGTGTTCATCACACACTGTTATAAGTGGTATCATTATTCCACAAAATGACAGTAGGTCATGTCAAATCAGGAATCGAATTAAAATTCTGACTATAGGCGCGATTATATTTTTTTTTATCATTAATTAAGATAATAGGTACGAAAAATATTAATAAAACATTAGAAATATGAAACAGCCTGTTAAAAATCTTTACTTATCAAACTGTAGAATATCCTCCATCTCTATTTTCTACGAGACAAAATATCGCAAACCAATCTAGCACAGTCCACGTAGACTGTTGTCCAATCAGATAGTCTAACGCTATCCTTAGACAACGTCGGCGCACGCGATGCCCCGCCCCTTTCACTTGTAATTAGGTGAAGGTCACTCGTACTGTAGCTTAGGCACGGACCGCGCTTACTACAGAGTGTTTCTAAAACTACGCCTTGCGTCATAATAATGAAAATATTTTTATTTTTAATTTATTTAAATCTCATTATTTTTTTATTATGAACGTTTACTAGTCATTGGATACATGAACTGAGCTGCCTTTGTAAGACGACTAAAAAGTCACGGGGTACTTGCCAGGTTTTGAACTCGCACTCATACATGAGAAGCGGCTTAACCTCCGGGCCATCGCGACATATCTTCTCGCCCTGGGTGGGGCGTGAGAATAAATTTGATGTCCCTCAAAACCATAACAATGTAGTATAAAAATCAGTACAATCGATTCAATTGTTTATTTTTACCAAAACCATTTTTATAAGATTTGTGAAGTATAAACAAAAAATTAACTTCAATTGAACTTACAATGTTTTTTTTTGATTGGGTAAGGTGATTCACAAGGACAGTAATATAAACTATTGAACATATTACAAAAACAGGTAAAAATAAATAAAAACAACAAAATAAGAAGGCAATATATCTATATTAGTAAGTAAAACGGAGATACACAATATAATAATGGGTATAAAATAATTAGACGGGCTTGTAGTCTAGCTTGCTCTCCAACTTCTTGTTGTCAGCCACCTTACGGACAGCTTTCATTAGATCTTCCTGTGAACAGATATAATTATTTCAGTATAACATCATTTTTGTCCTTATAAAAAAAATTTGGTCGGCAAAAGAGCAGACGGATTATCTGATTGTAAGCAATCAGCGCTGCCTATGTACACCCGCTACACCAGAGGAGTTACGAGTGCGTTGCCGGCCTTTTGGAGATAAGGATTTCGCAGATTTAGGAATTGGGCCTCCGGTAACCTCACTCACACGGCGAAACAACTCAATCTTAGTTTCACGCCAGTTTTCTGTGAGGTTATTATTCCAGTCGATTTGGGATGTATGGGGGGAGGGAAAGGATTGGGCCTCCGGTAACCTTACTCACACGGCGACAACACACGCTGTGTTTGTATCACGCCGGTTTCCTGTGAGGCCGTGGTATCACTCCGGTCGAGCCGACCCATTCGTGCCGAAGCATGGCTCTTCCAGATTTAACACTATTTAGTAATTTTGACATTATTATGTATCAAATTAATAAATACCAAGATACTAACCTGTATAATATACTCCCTCTCGGCACGTATAGCGAAAAGACCGGCTTCCGTGCATACGTTCCTAAGGTCAGCTCCGTTGAAGGTGTCAGACAATTTGACCACAGCTTCATAGTCCATCTCACCGTGTTTCGCTATGGGAGCCGCGTGGATTTTCAGAATTTCTAGT